CAAGGAAATTTCTCAAAATATATTATATAATAGTTATTCAAAAAAATTTATCTTTCGAATGCAAATAAAATAACTCTTTTTTTTTTTGACTCAATCCCAACAACTAACACGCGAGCTACTTTCACAAGTCAAAAATTAGATAATCTAGAAGCACATTCTCTACCATAAAGTCCACACGTGTCAACTAACCATACAACTCAAAATTTAAAATAACACCCCATACACGTGGCAGAATCTCCATTTTCCATTCGTTTTTAATTTATTTGATAAACTAGTTTTAAACAACTTCTTCAAACTAAAATGTCTTAGGGCTGAGTTATCCGAATCGACTTTTTCTCGAGCTTAATATATATAATTAATTACGATCTATCAAATGAGCCCAATATCAGTATATTTATAATTGCTCCATCAATATCTAAATATTTGATCCATATAAAATGTAATTTAATATGTATACACTTTGGTTCCTAACTTACCAAAATATTACAATATAGCATACTATGAAAATTTTCGGGACTTTACAAAATTCCACCGGATGATCACCATCTTTTATTTGACATTCAACACATCAACGAGTTGGTCGACAATGTTGAACTGGGTTTAGATGTCATGGGAGATGTCATAATCATAAGCTCCGAAGACGAGAATGTTAATGAAATATCTTCTATATCCGTTGTTGAGATGTCTTAGTGCATCATTATTTTGTGACCACTTCAAATAAGAAATTGTAACGCCTCAAATTCTGTAACCTGAAGCGTTACCAAACCCGATTTTTTTAACATAAATTTTTCAAATATGGATTAAGAAAAGTTTTTATATTTGAATTTATTAATCATGGTAATTAGCACATAACGTCCTAACCTTTCACTGTTATTATTAGTGGTGTCAATGGGTCGAGCCGGCCATTGTCGCACGAGCACGAGCCGAGCTCGTGGCTCGGTGGCAACTAGCCGAGCTTGAGCTCGGCTCGTTGCCATTTGGGCGAGCTCGGCTCGTGCCCGAGCTCGCCCAAAGCGAGCGGCTCGGCGAGCCGAGCTTAAGCTCGGCTCACATATATATTTTTTTT